ATGCACTTGGATTTTTGCAGATAAGGAGAGACTCAAATCTACCTAACGTGGTGGAAACGAAATCTTCCCAACTGTTGTTTGAGACATGACTGAAAGATAGAATAAGAGGTACTCCGATAAACATTCAATGCAATAAATGGAAAATACGGTTTGGCTTCTTGACTCTCCACATTAAGTTAAAGAGAGGAAGCTCCCGGAAGGGTTGGCAGGGTCACTGTGATTTCTTCTGGAAAAGATGTGCTCATGCTGGCTTGGTCTCGGGGGCTGCCAGGAAGCCGGGAAATGCCTCCGGCACCGCAGGAGAGGGGGTGCACAAGGCCAAGTCTCCAAGTCCCCCCTCCAGCGCTGCAGTGACCCCCAGGCAATGCTGTCACTCACCACACCAGCTCAGGCATTGTGACAACTTCAAAGACAAGCAAAAGGGCAATCCGATTTTTTAAAAAAAAGTTATGTAAGTGAAATAATGTGTACATAACACTCATAATCACATGTAGACCTGACCATGCTGGCGCTGGGGAGGCTGAACAGGCTTCCTGGAAGCCAGGAGGCCAGGAGCTGCTCCAGGGCCCCAGGGGAAAAGTAACACTGCCGTCCCTGGATGAGAACCGGCTGCACTGGAGCTGCCGACGATTCACGAACCAGGATCCCGTTGGACATCTGTGAATGCTCTCTTACCCACTTGCATACTCATTTCCATTAAGTTGTTCTCAGCTATACAAATCAAGGGCTCACAGGCAGGTGTGTGTGTGTGTGCACGTGCGCGCATGTGCCCTTCTGATTTACTTATCTGTAATTCACCTGCAATATTGCTTGCCAAGATTTGGATGTGCAGAGCAAATGGCATTTCCTATTTTATTCATATAAATTCTTGCCTTCCTCAAGTACTCCTTACTGCTAGCAGGAAAATAAAACCAACCAACCAAAAGAACCCAGCTCACTGGCCCATCTGATTGACCCTTCAGTTGCACGGGACGCAGTAAACAGCACTTGGACGCCCTCCAGCCCATCCTCGTGCCTGGTGGCTTCCTTCGGGGCTTGGGAATGCCTTTTCCTGCCTGGGTGCTGGGCTTCCTGCCTGCTTCTGAGCTGAGCTCTGTGGCCGGTGACTCGTGGCGACACCTGCAGGCTCGGGAACCATTCCTGGGGGACCAGGCCCCCAACAGACCCAGCTTCTCCTCCATCTCACCGGCTGAGACCCCTGTTGGAGACTCCGCAGGAGCCTCTGTGACGCTGCTTCAGCTGGGCCAGCCCAGTGCTTCAGGGCCCCCTCCCTTCCTGTGCTTCCTGGGGACACTGAGCAGCCCCGGTGCTCCTCCCGCTCTGCTCTTAGCTCCGCCCTCCCAGCCCGAGGGGGCGGGCCTTTCTTTACATCTCTCCCGGGACATCGTCCTCCCACCCCATTGAAGAAAAGGCCAAGGCCCAGCAGAGACGGACGGAAGGACTCCCGTCATCACCCGAGAGGCAGCCTTCCGAATGGCAGCTGAGCGAATCCAGCAAATGCACAGACTTCAAGCTTCTATGATGGCGAAGAGGCACAGGCCGGGTCCGGACCCAGGAAACACATCCCCTGACTGCTTCCAGATGGGAAAAGCTGCATGTGGCTCGCAGGCAAAACACACTGCTTCTGCATTTGTAAACTCATGCCTTCGTTCAACTGTTTTTGTAGAGTCTTAGGAATCAAAAACAGGATAAGCAGCCAATTGTGACTGTCTGTAATTGAGTAGCTGTAACGGATAAAGAGAACCAGTACAAGGAGAGTTTCTACTGAGCCCCAGATCAGGTAGGCATCATACTGAGTCCTAGCTGTACCGGTTATACACATTATTTCACTTACATCATACAGTCCTAGCTGTCTACGCCTGCACAGCTAGAAGGCTGGCTGTCGCTGTACACGCTTTGGCATTGGCCCCTTGTGTTCCTGCCCTCTCTTCACCCTCACACAACCAATTTATGATGACCCTCAACAAAGAAAATGAGGAGCTGAGTGTCAGGGCATGTGACGCGCATTCTAGGCCACACTGTAACTCCCAGAGCTCTGAGTCAGCAGTCCACTGGCTTCGCCTTCGTACTCCTGACAGCTGTTTATTTCTTTCAGTGTAATTTCAGAGAAAAATATCCGGAAGGGATTCACTGCCCTAGATCTATCAGAAAACATATGTAAGATGGTCTGTAATTTTACAGCACGGAAATCTAACGCCAAATAATCACATCCTAAAACAGTTACAATTTCGGTAATAATTCGTCTTAAATTAGACAAGGAGGTGTGTAAACACACTGCTGATACTTCATGAAATGACACTCGGGACACTTGAAGCTGAGACGTTTCGCCAGTGCTACTTCAAGGCCATCAGAGAACCAGAGTGTGAAAGAACCTTGCAAGTCTGTCCCACTGAGGCCCTGCTTTCCAAGTCTAGAACACAGGCTGCTGATTGATGTGTGGCAGGTGCGTGGGGTGCGTGGGGCTGCTGGCCTGGAAGCGTGCAGGTTACCAGTGGAGAGACAACGAGGGACCCCAGGCCAAACCACGAGTGCCTGCTTGTCTCAGATTTTTTTTTTTTGACAGGCAGAGTGGACAGTGAGAGAGAGAGACAGAAAGAAAGGTCTTCCTTTTGCCATTGGTTCACCCTCCAATGGCCACCGCGGCCGGTGCGCTGTGGCCGGTGCACCGCGCTGATATGATGGCAGGAGCCAGGTGCTTCTCCTGGTCTCCCATGGGGTGTAGGACCCAAGCACCTGGGCCATCCTCCACTGTACTCCCTGGCCACAGCAGAGAGCTGGCCTGGAAGAGGGGCAACCAGGACAGAATCTGGCGCCCCGACCGGGACTAGAACCTGGTGTGCCAGTGCCGCAAGGCGGAGGATTAGGCTATTGAGCCACGGCACCGGCCGCTTGTCTCAGATTGAAGCAGGAGCAAGAGGTCGGCGGGGGCTGGCAGGGCCCTCTAGGCAACATCAGCCCGCAAGCCAGCGGCTGCGGGAGAGGGAGAGAGCACAGCCAGCCGCTCGAGTCCACGCGGTCACTCCGACTGCCTGCTGACATCAGCTCTGCCTCCCTGCGGGGGTCAGAGTCAGAGCAGAGCAGCAGCTGAGAAAATAACGAAACCAAAGCAGCCCCAAAACTAACAGAAGAATTAAAACTGGAAAATAGCTACTTAGTCCAAAAGAAGACAGTAAAGGAAAAACTGTCATGAAACTAACCAAAAATCATGAGACAAAGGCAATAACATCAGAACGACAGACACAATTTCAACCTCATACATAACGACATGGATGTGAGCGAAATGAAAGGTAGCGATTGTCAGACCGGATTTAAGACAACAGATCTAACTCTATGCTGTCTACAAAAGACACACGTTAGATTCAGAGATTGGAAGTAAAAGAACTGGAGTGGCTGTGCTAATACCAGACAAAATAAACATCAAGACCAAAAAGTAGCCGGGACTGAAGTTTTTCAAAGAATTGTCAGTGCCTAGTTTACATTAGGGACTCCCTCTCTGACTTGGACAGTACTGTGGCTGGATGCCTACATGTAACCCAGTGTCGTGTACCCCTGTTACAGCCCCACAGAGAAACCACAGCCTAAATGCCCCGGCTCTGACTGCCCCTGGCTCCCCATCGGCCCCTCGGCCTCCATCGTCTTCCTCTTGAAGGATGCTCTTCTACCTGAGACCTCCCAGGCATTGAACAGCACTCTCTTGCTTCCTCCTGTCCATCATCCCCTCATAACCACCATTCTGTTGTCTGCTTCTGCACCTTCGACCGATGCTTCCCGTTGGAAGAATCATGTGGTCTTTGTCTTTCTATGCCTGGATCATTTCATTTAACACCATGTCCTCCAGGGTCATCCATATGTTCACGATGACAGGATTCTTTCTTAAGGTTGACCGGTACTTCCCTGGTGAACGTATCCTATACTTTCTTCATCCATTCACGCATCTAGAACATTGGGGTTGCTTCCATATCTTGGCTGCTCTGAATAATGCCACTGTGAACGTGAGAGAGCCTATATCTCTTTGGGTGGAAGTGCTGTATCACAGTCTACTTCTACTTTTAATTTTTTAGAGAATCTCCTCATTGTTTTCCATAGCAGCTGAACCATTTTACATCCCCAACAACAGTGTACAGTGTCCAACTTCGTCCTCTTTTACTTACAATATTAGTAATTTGCAATTTATCTTTTTTATTGGTAGTTTGGCTAATGATTAATCAATTATATTATTCTTTTCAAATAACAATTTTTGATTTTGTTGATTTTCTTTATTAAATTTGTTTTCAACCTCATTGTTTACGCACAGTTATTTACTGCTCTGTTTCTTTTGCTTACTTTGGAATTAATTTAGTCTTCTTTTCTGGTGGAATCTCAGATTAGTGGTTTCTCATCTCTTTATTTCTTTTCTAAAAATGCACTCAAGTTTATCCATTTCCCTCTAATCATAATTTTGCTGTCTTCCTCAAATATTGATTAGTTGTATTTTTATTTTCATTTAGTTCAAAATATTGGAACTTGAATTTTCATTCACTTATTTACTTATTGGCATTTTCTTAAAATTTCTTCTATGACCTATGTATTATTTAGAATTTCATTGTTTAATCTCCAAATACTTTGGAATTTCCCAATTATCTTTCTTATTAAAACTATTTGAGCCCATAGTATTCTGGGAGAATTCTGTGGACTGAACAAGTGTGTACCCCTAAAATTCATGTGTTGAAGCCTCAACTCCTGATGTGAGAATATTTAAAGATAGGGTCTTTTTTTTTTTTTTTTTTTTTGACAGGCAGAGTGGACAGTGAGAGGGAGAGAGACAGAGAGAAAGGTCTTCCTTTGCCATTGGTTCACCCTCCAATGGCCGCCGCAGGCAGTGCGCTGTGGCCAGCGCACCGCGCTGATCCGAAGGCAGGAGCCAGGTGCTTCTCCTGGTCTCCCATGGGGTGCAGGGCCCAAGCACCTGGGCCATCCTCCACTGCACTCCCGGGCCATAACAGAGAGCTGGCCTGGAAGAGGGGCAACCGGGACAGAATCCGGTGCCCCGACCGGGACTAGAACCTGGTGTGCCGGTGCCGCTAGGTGGAGGATTAGCCTATTGAGCCACGGTGCCAGCTTAAGATAGGGTCTTTATGGAGGTAAGTAATGTTAAAAGAGAGAAAACACTGGGTCCGATCCCTGATCTGATAGGGCTGGACTCCTCAACATATCATAGTTGTAAGTCCCAGACTGATGACTCCAACGTTTCTGCCTCTTCTGAGTCTCGTTCTATGCTTGCATTGGCTCTTCACACAGTTATTTCCACTGTTTAGTTTAGCATGCCTTACAGCTTTTGCTGAAAGCTGAAATATTATGTATCAGGCAAAGGGAATCGAGGTGCTTAGGTATTTAGTGTGAGGGTTCCTATTTATCCGGCTAATAATTGGGCTGTGTGTACTGTTCATGGTAGCTGTAGTGATGAGACTAAATGTTTTTCTAGTCTTTCTGTTCATATCTCCTCTCTTGTCTCTGGGGCTCTGTAGAGACGTCTTCATAGACAGCTGTCTCAGAGGTAATCCCTGTTCCTAGACAGGAGCCCTCTGGATGTGGTGACGACGGGCAGCGGGGCGGGACGCATTCACTCTATTATCCTGTGAGTAGCTCTTCTAGAAATCTGTTTCCTGGGCTGTGACATCACAAGTATTTCTGTTTCCCTCACTCCTTAAGGCGAGAAAGGAAGACCAGAGTGGACTGGCACTGGACTTTTCCTGTATCTCATACCAGTCAGGCTCTTGTAAAACCCATATCCGTTAAGCTCTGATGTGATGGTTTCCCTCGAGGTTCGCCCTTTGTTAAGGGAAATAGGATGCGCTAAGCGTATTCTGGCGTGGCCACTTTTTCCTTCTCTCTGCCAGAAGCATGAGGACATTGTTATCATAACTTCATCCTGAGACACTAGGGGGCTCCTGGAAGTAGAATTCATGCGTTATGGTCTCTTTGAAGGCTAAGGACCAATGGGTTTTCAAAAATCTCCCAAGTGAGTCGCACTCACTCTCCACCAGTCAGTTTCTCTCTGTGTTTTCCTCTTAGCTGCTTCCTCCCTCTGAAGCTTCTGCTCTCAATAAAGAAGGAATCTCTTTCTTTTTCTGTCTCTCCGGTCAGTGGGGGTGCTCCAGAGAGACGGGACAAACAGGAGACACGTGTACAAGAGAAGCTTTATGAGGGGACCTGGCACACGTGGCTATGGAGGTTGAGAGGTCCCAGAACACTCCGGCTGCTGGGAGCTTGTCTCTGTCCAAGCCTGAGATCCAACGGTTTTCTTCTCAGCAGGAAGCTGAAAATCTGGGAACCCAGGGGATCTTGGGTGCAAGCCCTGGAATCCAAAGGCCAGAGAGCTGGGAGTTCTGATGTCCATGGACCAGAGAAGAACACGTTCCAGCCCCCACAGAGAAAATGGCAGCCCTTCCCTCTGCCTGTTTGCTCTATGGTGCACTGCATGGTACCCAACTATGCAGAGAGCAGACCACCCCACTAGTCTACTGGCCCAAACATCAGCCTCCTGTGACTAACTGGCCAGCATCTGGACAGTGCAGGGGCCGGAAGGGAAGATTCCTGAAGACGGAGATCAAGCTTGTCATAGTGGGCTGCTGGGACATCGAGGGCACGATGCTGGCCTCTGGTGAGGGCCTTCTTGCTGCATCGTAGCATGAGGGAGGGCACACATGGTGGGGGAGACAGAGCAAGCGTGCTGGCTCTTAGAAAGTCAGTAGCCCAGTCACGGGGGTCCAACCCTGATGACTTCATCTAACGCTACCTCCCTCCCAAAGGCCCCGCCTCCAAATCCCACCAACAGAAGATTCAGTCTCCGACACATGATCTTTGTGGCACATTCAAACCACAGCCTGAGCGTCTCCAAAGGGAGAAACCCCCAGTGTCTGAGGCTCCCGCTATCCCTGAAGACTCTGGGCAGCACATGTCCATTAGTGACCTCTTCACACCGGGAACTTTTCTTATCGTGCTTCCAACAGATTTTTCTAAAAAATTCAGTTGCTAAGATGAGTGTAGAGTTCACGTTGGTGTGAGGAGTTGACCTCAATTAAAAGTTGAGGGGGGAAAAAAAAACCAAAAAACATGAACAATAACATCCTTGGGTTTAAATTTATGTACAACGCTTCAGTGGCATTGACGAACGTGCCATTTGCATATCCGCTGGGCACTGCCCACATTCTTTCTGTCTTCTCGGGGCTGGGCATACCATGACGCCGCGGTCATGTTGTGTTCTAATCTTGGGTTCATTTTTAGACCCTAAAACACAACATGGAACTCAGGAAGTGTGAATTTACTTGAACCAAACTGAAAAAAGGTTTTCTCAACCTCTGCAAGATGAAGCTGCAGAATTCACAACAGTTTTAATTATAACACACTAGATAAATACAATAAGCGGCTCTCTGCTCTGAGGTTGAAATCTCTATTTTTATCTCCAAGCAAACAGTGGGCTGCAGGGGAAAGTCACTACATTATGAGTGGTTATTGGATCTCTGAGCATCAACAGCTTCTGTGTCATTATATTGCTTTGTGTGTTAAAGAAAATCATTATCCAGAGATACAAACCTAGAAAAACATTTTCAGGTTTTAGAAGAAATGCTTTTTCCCCCAGGCGAAAAGACTAAGCACATAAACACCACTGTTACACAATAACTTGAAAGCATAATGCTTCCCTTGACGCTCAGGAAAGCCCTGGAGAGATGAGGGTAGAACTCTGCCTTTCTCGCCCTCTGCTTTCCAGGGCCTTGAAACGTGGGCCAGGAAAAGCACGGTTTCTCTAGTTACTGCTACAACCAGGATACACAGGAAGAGCTCTGGGGTTGCCAGAGAGAACATTCTAGAACTTCTTGTTCAGGGCGCTGGTGGGCTGCAGCATGGGGGACGGCCCTGAGACCCTGCGTGTACCATGCAGGGCAGTTTCAGCCGGCACGGTAAGTCCTCTCTGCTTCACCTTACATGGAAACCATAACCCGAAATAACCCGCTGATGTAACTAATTATTTTCCCGTTGTTTTGTCTCTCTAACAAATCAGAAACATCGTCATGACCAATCTGTTCTTTGCGTTGTTGTTTCTGCTTCCTTAGGCTCCTTTCTGTCTATAAAGCCAAACTCCTCTGCTCAGCTCACTGGAACGTTTCTCCTTCTTCTTATTAAATTGTTCATTTAGATTTATTTTTATTTATATTAGCTGAACAAATTTCATGTGTTTCATATGTACAGATTTAAGAGCATAAGATTCTTCTTACACTATCCTTCCTCCCACCCTCTCTCCTCTTTCCTTTCTTACCTTTTCCTTAAATTTTCACAATGACATATTCTCGGTTCATTTTAGAATCCCAAGCTTAGGCTTCCACCAAATAAAGAATTCAGCAAGTAGTAAGTGGAAAAACCACTGTGAAATACTTATTCTATTTTATGGAATGAAATGTTGCCCAGTTCTAGAATCAAAAAGAAGACCAATTTATAACTAAATTGCTATAATATTGTCCTTTGACAGGATATTTAAACCCAAGTGCTGGGCTTAGAGTTTAAAATATTTATTTATTTATTTAAGAGGTAGATTTACAGACAGGGAGGAAGACAGAGAGAGAGAGGTCTTCCATTCACTGGTTCACTCCCCCAAATGGCCGCAATGGCTGGATCTGGGCCAATCTGAAGCCAGAAGCCAGGAGCTTATTCCGGTCTCCCACATGGGTGCAGGGGCCCAAGCACTTGGGCCATCTTGCACTGCTTCCTCAGGCCATAGCAGAGAGCTGGATGGGAAGAGGAGCAGCCAGGACTTGAACAGGAGCCCATATGGAATGCCGGTGCTGCAGGCGGAGGCTTAACCTACTATACCACAGTGCCGGTCCCTGGGCTTGGAATTTTAAAGAGCAATGGTGTCAGCTGGCTGCACGGCATATGGGTCTGTGTAACTCCTTTGGTAAAACCCTGCTAACATTAGGGACAGATGACGCTCTGCTAACATTAGGGACAGATGACGCTCTGCTAACATTAGGGACAGGTGAGGGCCCTGTTAACATTAGGGACAAGTGAGGGCCCTGCTAGCATTAGGGACAGGGGAGGCTCTGCTACCATTAGGGACATATGACACTCTGCTAACATTAGGGACAGGTGAGGCCCTGCTAACATTAGGGACAGGTGAGGCCCTGCTAACATTAGGGACAGGGGAGGCTCTGCTACCATTAGGGACAGATGACGCTCTGCTAACATTAGGGACAGGTGAGGGCCCTGCTAACATTAGGGACAGGCGAGGCCCAGCTAACATTAGGGACAGGTGAGGCCCTGTTAACATTAGGGACAGGCAAGGGCCCTGCTAACTTTAGGGACAGGTGAGGCTCTGCTAACATTAGCGACAGGTGAGGCTCTGCTAACATTAGCGACAGGTGAGGCTCTGTTAACATTAGGGACAGGTGAGGGCCCTGCTAGCATTAGGGACAGGTGAGGGCCCTGCTAGCATTAGGGACAGGTGAGGGCTATGCTTGCTGCGCTCCCTCTGCAGACTCGTGGCCATAGGTCGCACTCTGGCCTGTGTCATGGGTCACCTGGACTTTGGTCTCTGGTTCTGGAGGCAACCAATCCCCTTTCCTGCCCAGGCCAGGGCCCTCAGGACCTCGCTGCCTGCCTGTGACTCTCTCAGGCAGGTCCAGGGCTTTTCCTAGCTGAGGGCTGCAGGGCAGGATGAACCATAAGAGGGGCCGTGTCTGCATCCATCTTTGTCCCGGAAAGGACCATTTCATACCCTCCAGTTCAATACTGGTGTAGAAACAACCTGCTTTGTTGCCCAACAGAGGGGGCAGATCATTCCTCCATCAAAGCACGCTGTCCTGAGCAAAATGCTATCTGCCCTCTCCACTCACACTCCCACCCTGCAGAAACACACACGGATCAGTCACACGTGGCTCATGACACGCACAATCCAGACCATGCATGGCTCAGTCACATGTGGCTCATGACACACAATTCAGAAACACGCATGGCTCAGTCCCACGTGGCGCAGTCACGCACAATCCAGACCATGCATGGCTCAGTCCCACGTGGCGCAGTCACGCACAATCCAGACCATGCATGGCTCAGTCCCACGTGGCGCAGTCACACACAATCCAGACCATGCATGGCTCAGTCCCACGTGGCGCAGTCACGCACAATCCAGACCATGCATGGCTCAGTCCCACGTGGCGCAGTCACGCACAATCCAGACCATGCATGGCTCAGTCCCACGTGGCGCAGTCACACCCACTGCTCAGTGACATGCGCAGGTCACTGGAATGCACAGTCCCAGTCCTGTCTTCCCAGCATGGAACAGTGAACACTCCTGCCACCCCTGGACAGCCCCGCGTCCTCTCAGCTTCATTCTGCCCCTGGGTCTCTCTGCTTCAACTGGGCTTCTCGGAGCGCACAATGACACAAAGAACAGGGAACACCTCCCTGCCCAGTTAAGTAATAAGTTACCATTCCCTCCATTTTCTCTTACTAAAAGATGTACTAGCTTTCCGTAAAGTTAGAATTTCTTCCTAGCTGCATAAAGCCGCGAGAGCAATGCTGTGTCCTCCGGAAACAGCCTGCTGGAGCTGGGATGACTGAGGAGGACTTTGTTCACTGTCTCAGAAGTCATTCGGGTTTCTGCTGGTGAATCCACTTCTTATTTCTTTCTCTTTTTTTAAGATTTATTTATTTATTTGAAAGGCAGGGTGACAGAGAGGCAGAGAGAGAGGTCTTCCATTCACTGGTTCACTCCCCAGATGGCTGCAACGGCCGGAGCTGTGCTGATTCGAAGCCAGGAGCCAGGAGCTTCTTCCACGTCTCCTATGGGGTGTACAGGGGCCCAAGGACTTGGGCCATCTTCTACTGCCTTCCCAGGCCACAGCAGAGAGCTGGATTGGAAGTGGAGCAGCCAGGACTCAAACCAGCACCCATATGGGATGCCGGCACTGCAGGCGGCAGCTTTACCTGCTACACCACAGCACCAGCCCCACCACTTCTTCTTGATAATGAGCTGCAGCAAACAGTTTGCCAGAGACACGGGCTGTGCACATCGCATGAGCGTGCGGCGCTTCCCCCTCACCAGTTCTGGCCCAGCTTGCAGAGGCTCCAAGACCGGCTGAGCTCAGGCGGAGGAGCCAGCCCACGGGGAGAGTTCTGGGGTTTGCGCTCCCTCTCACTGGCAGGGAGGCGCTGGGCCAGGGCTGGGTGATGGCACTTTCAGGGCCGACTTGACTGGATTGGGGAATACCCAGAAACCTGGCGAAGCACTGGGCTTCAGACTCCAGGATTCACCCCAGCACCACTCCCCACCCCCGGCTCCAAACACGCTCACACCCTGGGCCTTTGGCCTTGGACAGAGTTAGGCTGCTGGCTTCCTGGTCTGAGGCCTTCAAACTCAGACACAGTCATGCTACCAACATCCTAGGGCGCTGCAGTGTGAATGTCCCACCAAAGCTGGGGCTGTCTAAGAGGGCAGAGGGCCGGTGTCCTGGTGGAGCGGGTTAAGCCGCCTTCAGTGCCAGCAGCCCAAAGGAGCGCCAGGTCACGTCCTAGCTGCCCCACTTCCAGACCAGCTCCCTGTTAATGTGGCTGGGAAGGCAGCAGAAGACGGCTCAAGTGCCTGGGCCCCTGCCTCCCTTGCGGGAGACCTGGGAGAAGCTCCTGGGTCCTGGCTTCTGATTTTGGCCTGGCCCAACCCTGGCCATTGCAGCCATTTGGGGAAGTGAACCAGCCAGTGGAAGATTTCCTTGTGTGTGTGTGTCTGAAACTCTGCCTTTCAAAGAAATGAAATTTCTTTAAAAAAAAAAAAAAGAAGAAGAAGAGAGTGGAAACTTCATCCAGCTGTGGTGTTTGGAGAGGTGATGAGGATGAAACAAGCCATAAGGGTTGTGCCCTAACCCAAGGACATGGTGGCGTTGTAAGAAGAGCAGAGGCCTGAGCTGGGATTCTGTGTCCCACACATGAGGCCCCGCACCACCCTGAGACTCTGCAGAGAATCCTCACCCAACAAGAACGACCTCAGCAGAGGTGGCCCCTTGGTCTTGACCTTGTTGGTCTTCACAATCATGAATCACAAAGCAGCATAAACCTTTGCTCTTTGGAAAGTCACTCCATCTGGTCCCCAGTCTGAGACGCTGGCTCTGCAGCCTGCACCTGGCCTGTCCTGGGGTGTCCCAGCCCCCACAGCAGTGGGAGTCATTCCCCTCCCACCTGTCTCCATGACCACGCAGATCCTGTTAGTCTTGTTTCTCCGAAGAACCCTGGAAGAACCCTGGAGAACATTCGTGGGTTCCAGAAATGCATACGTACAACACAATAGGAAGACAATGAGCAAAGAAACGGGGATAGAAGAGAAGAATTACAGGAAGAAGTTAAGGTGAGTCCGTTTTTCGTTTCCCCTATTTGTATTTGGAGTTTCTGTCTTTTCTTACTGAGTTGCAGTAGCTCCTCACCTACGGTAGGTCTGTGTTCTGCAATACACTAGCCAACAAGGCCCTGTGGCTTCTAACATTAAAATTCGAGTTAAGTAGAATTAAAAAACCAGCTCTTCTTTGGGGCCGGAGCTGTGGCGCAGTAGGTTAATCCTCCACCTGCAGCGCCGACATCTCATGTGGGTGCCGGTTCCAGTCCCAGCTGTTCCTCTTCCAATCCAGCTCTCTGCTATGGCCTGGGAAAGCAGTGGAGGATGGCCCAAGTCCTTGGGCCCCTGCACCCACATGGGAGACCGGAAAGAAGCATCTGGTTCCTGGCTTCAGATCAGAGCAGCTCCAGCCATTGTGGCCATCTGGGGAGTGAACCAGCGGACGGAAGACCTTTCTCTCTCTTTCTCTACCTCTCACTGTCTGTAACTCTACCTCTCAAGTAAATAAATAAAATCTTCAAAAAAAAAAAAAAAAGCCAGTTCTGTCATCTTGGCCACATTACTGGGGCTCAGGAGCCACGTGTGGCCAGTGTCCATGGCTTTGTCATTTCCATCACCACAGCCAATACTCTTCTGTTCAGTTCTGTTCAGTTCCCTAATCCCTTGTCAACTTTATTCATTTCAGATACCTTCTTACAGAATGCCGCTTTCTGCTAACCTTGACTATGATGACATCACTGAATAGAAATGGTCACTCCCATCACGGCTTTCCCTGCGATTCGTGCTTGGGAGACTGTTATAAGAGATCTCCCTGAGGGCTCAACGACATTGCCCCTCACCTCTCTGTAGGTGCTTTGTGTGTCACTCTTCACATCGAATCCCAAAGGACTTTGCCTTTCAAAGAAAAAAAGCCCTGTGAGATCAGGGTGCAGTGCTGTGCTCTTACCAGAATGTGGTCCCCAATGCCTCGGGTGCTGGGGACTCCATCCTCACACCCATCCGCTGCTGGGATTTGGAAGTGGGGCCTTTGAGAGGGATGAGGACGGGAGAGTGGCGTCTCCAGGATGGGATTAGCGGCTTTATAAGAGGGGGAGACACCTGAGCTGGCTTATCCGCCCTCCTCCCACCGTGTCACGACACCCAAGCCGACCAGCAGCAGGAACCAGCACCTTGGCCAGCACCTGCCACGCTCTGGAATGAGAGGAAATATGCCTCTGTTCTCTGTGGATGGCCCAGTCTCCAGTCTTCAGGTATAGCAGTGGAAACTGGACCGAGACAAGCTGTTCCACAGTGCCTTATACCTCTCGCTTTTCCCCACTGCTCTGGGACGCTGCCACCTGCTAGGCCCCACCCCAAGTCTGCGTAGGGCAGCTCAGGGGCTCGCATGAGGCGGCACCCACCTCTCTGTGTCTCCTCTGCCAGAACCAGGTCGTGGACTGCTGTGGTCTGCGATGTGCTGCCACGTGGCGGTGCGGGGGGGAGGCTTCCCTCCCTTGCTTTTCTTTTGCCAAATCGTCCTAGCTCTGCCTGGACCTCACTTCCCTAGCTGCATTTTAAATCTGTTTTTTGAGCACATAGAGGAAATCAGCTCTCACTAAGAAAACACTCTAACTGAAAAATGTAAATGAATGCGGCAAGCCCCGTGATCCGCTTTGAACCTAGGAGTGAAACTCCAAGCGTTAGCCGTGAGTGAAAATCCATCCCACGGAGTTTCGATTGGTCTGGGGCACCCGTGAATGCTCATCTCCAAAGTGCTTTGCCTCTGGAAGCCACTAAGGCAGGCACTGCGTTGCCATGGTAACGGTTACTTTTAGTTAGTACTTTTTATAGATTAAAGTGCTACACCCTGGAATCTGTCCGTGTAAAAGCATAAATCTTAAGACAGTATGGTGCTCCATTTAATGTAGATATCTAATGGAATAGTCAGACTAACTGACCAGAAATGGAAAGTTTTCAGCATTTATATTCAAAACAGATATGCAGTATTCCCAGAAATATAACATTTTTGTTAAATATGCTTGCAAAATCCAAGTTAACCATTTTTTCATCAATTTATATTTTAAATAATTAATCAATTATGGCATATGCATATATATATATAAAATGACAGAAGGTTGCATCCATCATTTTAACTTTTTTATTTTTTAAAAAGATTTATTTACTTATTTGAGAGGCAGAGTTATAGATAGAGAGAGGGAGAGACAGAGAAAGAGGTCTTCCATCTGCTGGTTCACTCCCCAAATGGCTGCAATGGCTAGAGCTGGGCTCATTCGAAGCCAGGAGCCAGGAGCTTCTTGTGGGTTTCCTACAAAGACTTGGGCCGTCTTCTACTCTTTCCCAGGCAACTAGCAGGGAGCTGGATTGGAAGAGGAGCCGCCAGGACACAAACCAGCATCCATACAGGATGCCGGCGCCATGGGTGGAGGCTTCATCTACTACGCCACAGCACTGGTTTTTTTAAATTTTATTTTCTATCCTTGAGGAAAATCTCCAGTTATTTTGGAGAATTCAAAAGACTTGGAAAGGCATCAACATGGTGGTACAGTGGGTTAAGCCGCCACTTAGAGTGCTGGTAGCCCATACTGGAGCGCCGGTTCAAGTCCCCGCTGCTCTGCTTCTGATCCAGCTCCCTGCTAATGCGCCTCTCAAAGCAGCAGAAGATGGTCTAAGTGCTTGGGCCCCTGCACCCATGTGGGAGACCCAGATGGAGTTCTGAGCTCCTGGTTCCTGTCTGCCCAGACCTGGATGTTACAGCCATTTGAGGAGTGAACCAGCAGATGGAAGATCTCCCTCTCTCTGTCTCTGTCATTCTACCTTTCAAATCATAAGTATATTTTTATAAAAATAAAAGACTTGGGGGACACGATGTCTCCCCATCACGGGAGTGAATGTCAGGCGAGCCCTGGGTGGAAGGGAGCCTGTGAGCCTGGGCTCGGCTGTTGGCTCTGATCTCTGTTAACTGCGTTGCCTTAAGCCTCCGTTTTCTCAGCCGTAAGACAGGCGTCATCAAAGCAACTCTCCACGCAGCACTTGTAAAAACCAAACACATCTTCAGCAAGTGGCATCTGTGACTTTAAAAAGTGACGGCACAATGGTCTCAAGTCAACATTACAGAGAGAGGGAGTGAACGATACCACGCACACCAGAGCGGAGCCTACTCTACGGCAGATGGTGTCGGTAGACGCAAGGCCTCAGAGATGGGGGCTGGGCACAGCTTCCACACCCATGGGAGAAGCCCTCAGGACAGTGCTCAGCAGGGCAGTGGGGCTGGGCGGAGGGGTCAGGGGCCGGTAGGGTTGGGGGGGGACAATGGGGCAACAGTGGGAGGACGCAACAGTGGCTTGAGAGCTGCTTTACACAGAGGGTGACATGGTGACAAGAAGTGTTTCACAAGGAAGGTCTGGCAAACTAAGAGATGCGTGGAGACAAGCATGAGGACAGCGTGTGTCCCTGGTCTGAATCCAGGAAAAGACGCAAAGAGTAAAGATGGAGATATAGGGGCCAGCACCGTGGTGCAGTGGGTTAAAACCCCGGCTTGTAGTGCTGGCATCCCATATGGGCGCTGGTTCAAGCCCTGCCTGATCCACTTCTGATCCAGCTCTCTGCTGTGGCCTGGGAAAGCAGTAGAAGATGGCCCAAGTCCTTGGGCCCCCGCACCCACATGGGAGACCAGGAGGAAGCACCTGTCTCCTGGCTTTGGATCGGCGCAACGCGCTGGCCATAGCGGCCATTTGGGGGGTGAACCAACAGAAGGAAGACCTTTCTCTCTGTCTCTCTCTCTCTCTCTCTCTCTCTCTCTCACTGTCTAACTCTACGTGTCAAATAAAAAAAAAGATCTTAAAAAAAGGAAATGCATTGATGAATATTGTTTCACTGGACTCCCACAAGGGCTCTGTGAGGCAGAACAGGTAGATGTTACAGCCTTGTTCAAAACAACCCATTTCTAGGGTCAAAGCAAACCAATTTTTAGACCTTATTCTGTCTCAAAACAAACAAGAAGTTTAAGTGACTGCTTTCACCTGCAAGGGTCAAGCCCATGCTCAAGGTCAGTCTCCTCAGTGCTTCTGGAATTTTCTGCAACCACCTGAAGGGGTCCCCTGGAGCCCACAAGGACACACCCAGTGGCCAGTGGTCTAAGTGATGACTCAGTTATTGTGCAAATGTGTGCAAGGGAGTTAAGACGACTTGTCCTGCACAGGCCAACAGGGGCTGCCTACTGTCCCCAGACCACCCTCCCCGAGCTCTCACATGGCTGAAATGGCTCTGCGTGTGGTCTTGGATGCACAGCTCACCTCACACTCACCATGACCACACTGAGCTCACTGCCTGGGTCCCGACTTGCAGCCCAAGGGGCTACTTTGGTCCCTGTCCCCTTGTGGGGTAGGCAGCTTCCCACCCAGCTCTCAGTGAGCTCTGCCTTTCAGGATTCCTGCCTCTCCTCGCGTGGACGGGCTGCCAACTCGATTTCAATGAATAAAATCCAAGAGCGTCACTTTTGAGAGCAGGTTCTAAAAGTCAGTGGCCGCCATCTTTTTCATACACTTTCTTCTTCTGACGACTCTCACGGACTTTGTCAGCAAAGCCAGCTGGGGAGACTCCCTTGGCAAGAAACTGGAGCTAGCCTCCAGCCAGTTGCCTGGGGTGGGCGTTGTAGGGCAGAAGGTTAAGCCTCTGCTCGGGACACCTGCTGCCCATATTGGAGTGGCTGCTTCCTCTGTGTCCTGGTCTGGATTCCTAGTCCTGTGCCCGAATGCTGGGTGTCTTAGCTAATCCCATCAGCAAATGTTGTATTGCTATTGCATTTGATGGCTGCCCTGTTGACGAGTCAAAACAGCCTTGGCAGCCCTGCAGACAATCCAGTTCTGTCCCCCACGCAATATAAAGCCAGGGCCTGAGTTGCCAAATTTGGGCCCCAGCCAGCTCCCAGTGCCCCACTCCGGCCTGGGGCTCCCTCACTGCTCTTCCTGACCTTCCCACTTCCAGCTCCCACACCTCCCCTTCCTGGGAGGCGGGAGCGTTCTCTCAAGGGCAGGTGCCAAGTTCTGAGCTCCTTTTTCCTCGCTTTCCAGAGGATATAGGATGGGCCTCGCAGATGTACCGGGTCTTCTGGGGGAGATGTGAATGCCCCCGCTCCAAGCAGCGCTGGCAACAGGCACCGCCACTCAGTGGCACAGCAGTGACTCACGAAAACAGTGCAGAAGAGTTCCCGGACCCTCCCCAGCAAGTACAAAGCAGGCCATTGACAGGCAGCCAGCACAAGAGAGTAAAAGTTCCTCTTCCCGGCTTCCAAAGGCCTCCCACAGACTATGCCAACCTGCTTGCCCAATCCGTTCCTCCCCCGAGCCCTCTGGCCCCTCTGGCCCCTCTGCCACCTGCTAGTTCAGAACATTTTGCTGTTAAAAAACAAAACCTGCTGACTGGATGAACCTCACAGTCTTTAAGTGGAGTGAAAGAATCTGGACACAAAAGAGCAAATAGACTTGCTTGTGTTAGATGATCTTGTAGACCGGGCAAATCTTTTCTAACATGAAAAAAGGGGCCATGCTCAGTGAAGGACCCCTGCAGAGGGACACGAGGGGCTTCCTGGAGCAGAAGGGCTGAGATGTGGCCGAGAGAGCCGTGTCCATCCGTCAGAATCGCACAGCTAGTTTCCTTTGTCACTGGGGCATTCTGATGTATGTCGATTTCAGCTCCCATAGGACTACGGTTGAGCAAGAGACAAGAAGTGGAAATGGCAGCGTGTCGGTGTCGGTAGCTGCGGAAGCTGGGCTGTGTGCTACCCAGGGCTGAATGGACCTTCTGTGCACTTTGTAAGTGTTTGAAATTTTCCACATTCAAACATCAAAAACATTTTTATTGAACATATAGTTTGTGCTGGACTATGTGCTGAACGACACCACACAGGCTGCAGAATACAGAAGGAAATAAGTTAAAAACGTAACTTTTACTCACAAACATCTAACGCATTGGAAAGGGGAGAATGTGAAGCAGGTGAGGAGAAACACTAGCCACGTGTACACCTCCAAGTGTTATCCCCTGATGAGGACCCCTCAATGTCTGTAGTTTATCATGGATATGTAAGTTTAGATAGAATGTAGGCACTGGCGCCGTGGCTCACTTGGTTAATCCTCCACCTGCTGTGTCGGCATCCCATGTGGGCGCCGGGTTCTAGTCCCAGTTGCTCCTCTTCTGGTCCAGCTCTCTGCTGTGGCCTGGGAAGGCAGTGGAGGATGGCCCAGGTGCTTGGGCCCTGCACCGCATGGGAGACCAGGAGAAGCACCTGGCTCCTGGCTTCGGATTGGTGTAGTTCCGGCCATAGCAGCCATTTGCGGAGGTAAACCAACGGAAGGAAGACCTTTCTCTCTGTCTCTCTCTCTCACTGTCTAACTCTGTCAAAAAAAAAAAAAAAGAAAGAAAAGAAAAAGAAAAAAAATAGAATGTTAGTGGTCTACAGGCATCAGATTCCTAGACAATGGTCATTTGGAAAGATTTTGTTTCTTTCTATTTGTAGACACCTGTTTATGCCAGTTCCCCGGATGCTTGCTTCATCCAGTCCTCCTAACCTATGTGAAGAGTTTGCATCAGCACCGCTACTCAAAACGTGGACTTGGGGTCGGGGGGGCTTCCCCCAGAAGCCGCCTCTTCCACGGAGGATGCGGCGCCCTGAGAATGACAGGAGGACCCACACTGTGCTCTCGGTGTGGTTGATTTACGCTCAGCATCAAGCCCCACGCCTGGACCCGCAGCCAACACCACAACAGTTCATTACGTCCACCCCGGGGGCACCCAGATCAATCCAATCAGAATCCCTGCAGGCAGGGATCGGTGGTTTGCAAGTGTCTGATGCAATCATGCGCACAGCCAGGCAAGAGTGCCTCATTGCTGAGCTGCCTTGGTCATTGCCTTCCGGAAAGCCTCCCTCCCTGCTGGCTCACAGAGAACCTCTCTCGTCCCCTGCCCTCCCTGCCTGCTCGCAGAGAGCCTCTCTCGTCCCCTGCCCTCCCTGCCTGCTCACAGAGAGCCTCTCTCGTCCCCTGCCCTCCCTGCCTGCTCACAGAGAGCCTCTCTCGTCCCCTGCCCTCCCTGCCTGCTCGCAGAGAGCCTCTCTCGTCCCCTGCCCTCCCTGCCTGCTCGCAGAGAGCCTCTCTCGTCCCCTGCCCTCCCTGCCTGCTCACAGAGAGCCTCTCTCGTCCCCTGCCCTCCCTGCCTGCTCGCAGAGAGCCTCTCTCGCCCCCTGCCCTCCCTGCCGGCTCGCAGAGAGCCTCTCTCCTCCCGCTCCATCCTCACTGCTCCCTGCCCGTCTGGTTTCTAGGTATCTGCAGCTTTGTCCTGTTTGAAGCACCCAGTACTTGGTGTCTTTAGCGAGGAAGCGTAGGTAGGCGTTCTTGTGAGCAGGGCTCATCCCTTACTTCCCTGCGTTCCTCACAGTGCCCGGCAGTCATGTGCTAAGTGTTTCTATTTAGGTAACAAGGGACTTTTTCTTTATTACAAGATGACTGTTTTAACACTGGAATACATATATACACGTATACTTATTGATAGATGTATCAAGAATTCCTTAAGATACCACACTAAATAATTGTTACTGGTATCAGTTTCTCCACGAGGAAAGTATGCAAAGATGTAGCATCTTCAACATAACTTTTCCAGCATTTAATTTTGGGATTTACCAATTCAATGCATTTGCTATTTTACCAATTAATTTTTGAAAGATTTATTTTATTTGAAAGGCAGAGTGACAAACAGAGGGAGAGACAGAGAGAAAGAGATTGCTCATCACACTCGTCCACTCCCTAATTGGCCAGAACAGCCAGAGCTGTGCCAGGCCAAAGCCAAAATCCAGGAGCTCCATCCTAGTCTCCCACATGGGTGTCAGAGCCCAGCACTTGGGCCATTCTCCGCTGTTCTCCCAGGCTGGATCAGAAACAGAGCAGCCAGGGCTCACACGGGCACTGTCGTATGGGAGGCCGGTGATGCTGGTGTTGGCCTAACCCGCTGCAGCACCACATCGGCCCTGTTCTACCGACTCTTACCCATACAGTCAGCCCTCCGTCTCTGAGGGTTCCACAGCTGTGGATTCAACTGATTTTGAATAGAAATTTTAAAACATTACATTTGTACTGAATATGTACAGACTCTTTTCCTTGTCATTATTTCCCTGAAGAATGAAGTGTAAATTCTAGTAGGTATCATGTCTCTAGGGTGATTTTAAGTAGAAGGCAGGATGTGCACAAATTACCTGCAAGTTTGAGTTCACTTTACTAGGGGACTTGAGAATCTGAGGATTTTGGTATCCAAGGGAGGTTTGGGGACTCCCCTGCAAGTCACTCAGGTGCTGGGTTAGTTGGAGGGGACATGTTTGTTCTAATGGAGCTGCTGAGAGCGGAACTGACCCAGGCCTGGAGGAGCCTTACCCTCATCAGCTGAGTGCAAATCAGACAGGAACTGCATCTACGTAACACCCAGCGCAAGCAGACAGGAAGCACATCTACATAGTCCACACACAACCAGACAGGAACTGCCTCTGTGCGGTGTGCACCACAATCAGAACAGCTTCCACACACAAATAGTCTGAAATTTTGTCAATGGAAAACGTCAAAATTTAGCAGTGCAGAATGACACTGGGTTCCAGTGCTCCCTCGACTGAAACCACCGTGTTTTCCTGGGTGACTGAGCCCAGTTCTGATGTCTGTCGAGAAGCTGCTGGAACTATCATGCTTTGATTAAACAGGGTATGAGCCACAGGCCGATTGCCCGAACCCACTGATAAAGACAGAATTCACCCTATCCACCCAAACCATCCTTTCCATGCCAGACTTGGCAATGAA